CTAATGCGGGCTGCCGTGGCACTAAACCATTTTGAGAACCTCTGCTCTTGCCCTTCATTCCTTCCTACCATGGACCAGTGCACTCACCTATCCCATGTGAAAGATCTTACTGGATATCAGGAAGCCAAAGAAGAGCCCTGTAAGAAACATGGTAGTTGTCAGCAGCACACTGCATACAGTCTCTTGGTAGTTGACAATGTCTAACTGTCAACTAAGGCTGCAAACAAATGTTGCATTTGTCCCAGGATAAACACTTTTATCTCAGGACAAAGTACAATAGTTTAGACATCCATGTCTGTTGTCCTAGGATAAATCCTAAAAAAGTGCACTGGATAAGAAGTACTAACAGTTTATCCTTGGACATAACAAAAGTGCATCTGAATGGGATTGCATCATTGAATCAATGGCAAAAAAGTAGCAGTGCATTCAGCCACTCACTAAACCCTGATTAGAAGGGCAATGTGCATACACACAATCCCAGGATATTTCTGTTCCAGGACAAATACAGACACAACTTGTCCAGGGACAAATAAAGCACTTGTCCCTAGCCTAAGAACCTCAGATCAAAACACATGCCAGAAAAAATGGTTCATAACTGGGCTTTATTAAGGTTGTGGAACAATTAATTTCACTACAGTCAGACTCTGGCTGGCTATCTCAATAAAAGTCCATACCATCTTTCATGTTTCACTGTTAAAGTTCCATTTTGATAGGGATTTCACAAAGGGAGAGGTTAAAGGCTTGCAGATCCGAGAAATAACTCTTGGCACTTTGATGTGGAGCCATATTTCTCACATTCCCTTTATCTTCTCTGTGGAGCCTTGGTAACATGTCTTTCAATTCATTGCAGAAAGGTGTTTCAGACATCTTTGTTTGCTTTTGCATCTCTGTGAAATGTCTCAGAAACAACAAAATGAAGATGGAGGAAAAGGGGGTTGTTGTGATTTCTTACACTTGCCCAATCCTTAGCAGCAAGAGTCTTGTAAGCCTGATCCCAGACAACTGAATTTGGCAAAATAGCTTACACTTAGGGATGAGCGGCAAGCCAAAGTGATCTTTTGTAGATCCTTAGCTAGAGTCCAGGGAAAGGAGTAAATTGGCTGCTAAGACTTCTGGTAATACAATGACCTAACAAAATGATGCTTAGGAGATAACAGCCCTTGGCAAGGTTATCTCCACCTTTAAAAGTGCCACCTGAGGATGAAATGACAGTAAAGGTGAAGGGGGCGGGGGAAAGAGGCAGCTTACTGTAGTAGTTAAGAGACGAAACCTGCTAGTGAGCTTATGTTGTTATACTCCCTGCTGTTTAATGTCATGTTTGTTAGTGGCTGTGTTATTAAGAGTTCGCTCAGAGTTGAGGCATCCGCTTGCTTCATTCATTACCTGAATTCTAAGTAACCAGCATTGTGTAATACCAGCCTCTGTACAACGTAACTGGTTCTAGCTGGCCTGGGCCAGAGCTTCTTAAAGAAGCTGCTGTGTGATAGCAGTGATGTCTGAGGCCCCTGACGCAGGTTCATAGATTCATAGATGTTAGGGTTAGACAGGACCTCAGTGGGTCATCGAGTCCAACCCCCTGCCCTGGGCAGGAAAGAGTGCAGGGGTCAGATGACCCCCAGCTAGATGCTTGTCCAGTCTCCTCTTGAAGACCCCCAAGGTAGGGGAGAGCACCACCGCCCTTGGAAGCCCATTGCAGATTCTGGCAAACTTTACTGTGAAGAAGTTCTTTCTGCTTACCACACTTAAGATGTGATTAAGTTGTTTTAGTAGTGACCTGGCCATACATTCAGTCTCCCACCCTCTGGAGCACACTGGAGTCCTAGCAGCCAGGGGAGCGCATCAGAGTCAAAAGCTCCCCTGTGCTCCTGTGGCTGGGAACCCCACCCAGCTAACCCAGGCTCCCAGCCCCAGGAGACCATGGCATGCTTCCTCAGCTGGGAGCCCCCATCAGCTGGGAGCTTCCCTCAGCAGTGAGATCCAGCCTTGGGGGTGGGGGGTGTGTGTGTGGGGGGAGCCAAACTTTCTACTTGTGGGTGCAGAGGGAGCCTGGGAGTCCAAGAGTTGAATGGAAACATTTTGAAAGTATCAAGTTACCTTTCACTAGGTTTTCTCTCTGTGTCTTATGGCTTCCAAAAGGTAAATTAAAGAAAACTCACTGGGCGCATCCAGACAAGTGTGGCTGTGTGGTATGTGCCCCCACAAACACATCCGCAGTGCCACATAGTGCAGTCACCTGTGTTCTCCTTGTTGCAAGGGTGCGCTGCCCATGTGTGTGCTGCTCCAGTTTTTTTTCCCCGTGGGGTTTTTTTGACCCCTGAAAAGTGAGGTCAAGGTCTGCCCAGCAGGCCCTACCCAGCAGGCCTCCAGAACCCCAGGTAAGGCTGCTGGGGTAAGGTAAGGCTGCACAGTGCTGACCCCATCCTTCCCTATGCAGCCTGGGGTAACTTCCCACACACCAAAGTGCCTGTCACGGGCGTTCCCTGGGGACATGTAGCTGCAGTACAAGGTGCAGCACTGCTACTTGTCCCCAAGGAACCAAATATCTGCGCACATCTGGATGCAGCCATTGTGTCTGCTGGAAAAGTTCCTATCTTGCTCAGAAGCAAGTATAATTCAATGCAGATAAAGGGAAGAGAAACACTGGACCTGGAAGGTTTGTTTGAATCTGGCAGGAGAATTACTTTTTGTGTCTGTATTATCCCACATATGCTTGATCAACCATGCTGCTCATCTTACAGATATGATTAGCGAACCCTGGATGAGAAGTTAATTTTAGAAATCTCCCTAAAAGGAGCTCTTCAGACTTTTAGAGCATTCAGAATGGACTGTTTTGGCCTATGTTGCTTGAAAATGCAGAGCATAGGTTCGAAGGCAATTGAAGCAGCACTATAAATTAAAGTCCTAAAAATTCTTGTGCATATATGGAAACTGTTAGTTTAAAGATAATGCTTTAGCACGCTGCAAAGTTGAAACTTTGCAAAACAAAATGATACTGAGGCAATAATTTTAGAGTACTAAACAATAGAGCGGATGGTGAGAAAGCTACTAAAAATATAATCCTTTTAATAATGGAAAATATCCAGGGCAATACATTGTTGGTCCTTTAAATGGGAACACGTTGGTTGGTATCCTTATTAAATATATTAATGACAGAACATTTAAGTTATTGATTAATACCAGAAGGGTTTTTTAAGCATTGCGTTGTTCTCTTTAGTTCAGATGGTAAGAAAAGAATGCGTTATACTTGCAAGCTAAAAAAGAAGCCAATATTCTTTCAGAGAAAACAGATCTTTATATCCCATGCATTGCACAGGGGAATCATGCTTGGAGATGAATATCTCCACTCCTAAAAGAAAATTCTATAAGCGTAATAAAGGTACAACAACTTTATGTCCTTCTAGACTGTGTTTCTTTTTTTTTAATGGCAAGGGTTTATCTGTTTTGACTGCAGTGACATTATGCAGTTCTTGATAGCTTAATTACCGGTATGGTAAATTGACAGAGACTGTTTTGTGGAAAGTTCTTCATGTTCAGGAAGAGATATCACTGTCCTCTTAAAGTAATGTAAATAGTTTTCTGCTGTGTAACTGACAGGAGAGAAATTTCCCCACCCTTTGATTTTGGCTATATTTAGCCTGTTTATTTCTCTTTTTACTGAGAAGTTTGTGCATTACAGCCTGCTATGCTGTTGCGTTAAAGGATAAATGGATTTTTTATACTTGCTAATTACCTCAAGGTCTTTTAAAGCTCTCTCCACAAAATGCTGGTTTTGTGTTTTACTTGGTAGAGAACATGATAGGATAATACCTTTTCTCTTTGTCCTTTAGCAATTTTTTACCGTTATGCTATCTCCTGGCAGCCCAGCCATTCTTTGAATAAACTGCCTTAAAACTTGCTTTAGATAAAATACTATGTTATTTTTTTCCAGCTAAAAACTTGATTTCTTTCTCTTTTCTCCCTTCTGGCGACCGAAGGAAAAAGGGAGAAAAGAAAGAGCAAAACAAAACTGAAAAATAAAAAAAAGAACTTTTGGTTTTCAGAATGTGGAAAATTATAATGATTATACGATTATTGTTTTCAGTAAACACATTATTCTTGAAAATAGGTCTTTTTAATCATTGAAAATGAAAGAACCAGTGCACCAGACTTGATTAAAATATATTTAAGTATGTAAATAAATCACAGGTTAGTAAAAGCAACCCTAACTGTCAATCATAACCACATCAGGGCAAAGTTGGCTACTTTTTAATTTTTGAAGCTGTCTTTTCTGGTTTTGAGCTGTCTTTTCTGTAAGCCTTTGAGTTCAGACCTTGAACACCAAGGTCTTATCTGTTTACATGGACACTAAGGGCTTTTGGCAGGAAGAGGAGCTTGCCTTGAACCTTGAATCTTTGGTGTAAGATGATTCTGAGGGGCATAAAACAAACGGAAAAAAATCTCTTTTCCTCTTCCCCATTAGAGCATTATAAAGCCAGTGCCTTCTTTAACAAGTGCAGTGCCCTGCCCCTGTATCGGATACAGCCGTAGTTCTCAACCCTTTTAGACTCCAGGCACCTCTCTGGGGTCAAGGCTCCCCTTGTTACACTCAAGCACCCTCAGCAGACTCACGGGGCCCCTTGTTAGACTGAAGCACCGCATAGCAGACTCGAGGCACCCCTCAGTAGGCTCACGGCACCCCTTGTTAGACTCCAGCCCCCCGTGCAGCATGCAATGTTTTGAGTAGCGCAGGGCAGGCGGCGCCGCCGGAGCCCCTCA